TGCAGTAGTCATACCCTGTAGGATAATGGCTTCCCTGGGAACTGCCTCACTTCTTTGAGATCCTTATAAGGCACATTTGAGTTTTCGTCTTTAATGCTGAATGTTGTGCTCTTGGGATCTTTGACTGGCAGACCACAATGCAAGCCAAAGCTCCATCATCCTTCTCTGTGCATACTTTGCTCTTGAATCTGACAGTACCTTCACGGTGGAGACAGCCCCAGGCAGCGTTACTGCTCAGCAGAAGCTTGTCTTCCGTGGCTGCACGCATCTGCCATAAAAATGGTTTCTGCCCTCCACAGAATCACTCCACCACAAATGGCAGGGAAAATGTGCTGGGGAAGTAAAGTGGAGTTTCCCTAGTGTGAATAGTGGTTGTCACTAGGCTCCTTCTGCTGTACCCATACAGCTGCTTGCCTAAATGCAGCACTGGCCTGAAACTTGCATGTGGTCCAAGCCTGTGTGCACAGTTTCTAAACTGATAAGGGAAAGAGGGAAGGCTGACCATCTATCAGTTGGCTTCTCTGGAAGTGAGAATTGCCCTTGAGAAATGGAATAATCTTTCTTCCTAAATTCCTGGAAAAGTCTATGTTGTATAACACACTACTTGCTGAGTATTGTGGAGGTGGAGCAGGAAAAATACAAAGGTCACTAGAAGGTTAGTGGTGATGTTTTCTTGAAAAGAGTAATTTCCAGCTATTCTTTCATAAATCTTACCTTCTCTAAGGCAGAGTCTGTTCTTCACAGCCACAGTGTCAAGACAACCCACTCTTTTTATGTACAGGGCACAGTTTCTTTTGCAATGTTTGAGACTTCAGGTAAAGTGCTGAAAAGTCAAGGGTTTAGAGATCTTTGCTTCATAGCTACCTAAACAATTAGCAGGCTTTGACTCATTTTTTACTGTGAAAGTGAGACAAAAATTTTTGTCTTACTTCTGGCAATCGGATAGCACGTGTAGATGTTGGAGTAGTCATGACAGGGAAGTCACTGACTCAGGTGTGATCCTGTAAAGTTAGCTCAGTATCTCTGTGTGGTAACTGTAGCACAGAGATAACCAAGGTTGGTAATAGCCCCTGTGTTGACTTAACAACTGCATTTTTTTGTTGTCATTTTGGAGTTTGTATTGGCTGTATCAAGCCTATTGCCCCTGTAAGTTCATGTTGTTGATAGGAATTGTTACAAACATGGGTTTTCTTGTTTCCCTGCACATGCCTTCCCATTACTCTCCACAGGAAGTCAATACCAAGCCCATTGGTTTGGGGGAGGAGGATCGTCCCCCCCCAATTCCCAAACCTGTTAAATATCAACGTCAGGGGCTTGTCAGTACGAGTTGTCATCATTCTTCAGAGTAAAGTATTTAAAACATAGTTACTGTTTAACATCTCTCCTATTATTACCAGTAGGGAAAGGAGCAAGAGTCTTTCCTTATCATGATAAGATATAAATACATCATCTGTCTCCTTTCCAAGTCCAGGATAAATGTTTACTGAGCACTTCTACCTTTCTGCACCATTGACAATTTTGCTGACTCTGTTTAGGTGACGGACTTAAACTGTTGCTAGGATTTTACATGTTCTTCTTAATATTTAAAAAGTCCTTTTAACTGTCTGTAATTCTGTTGATGGGACATTCACTGACCTGTGTTTCAAACAGTTATGTTATCCTATAAAAAATTAATTTCTGAGAATCTCATTTAGTCTCCAATATTTTCCACCATAAGGGTGGCTTTCCAGTTAGCCTCTCTTCTCTGACAAGAAAACACAGCGGGGAGAATTGCTGTTGCCAGTCTTATAGCAAAAGGTGCATTTTCCACTTGATTTTATTTTTTTTAATCTTTTTTGCATACGTCAGTTCCAGGGATATGGCTACTTAGATGTCATACATGAAAGTAGAGGGGAAAGGAAACAGTCTGGGAATACCTTCCTGCGACAGATAAGGACCTATCCCTTGTCCTTAGCATTGTTTAAAACAGGGTCTTTCAAAGTAACTGGCTTGACAGAAGGCCTTTTTGGGTGGCTAAAGTTATTGAATAAATGGTCTTGTGCTTTTCAAAAACGTTTAATGAAGTTCTCAAATCCAAACAAATAAGTGTTACAAGAATTGAAAGTAGGAGGAATTTGCTCCTTGATTTTCTTTGCTAATATTTTCATGTACAATTTTGAACCTTTTTATTTATTAGTCTCATTTAAAGGTAGAAGAATGGTAGCATATTTTATTATAACTTTTTTCATCCCCATATTCCATATGTTTCAGCTTTTTAATTGGATTTAGCTAGTATTCATTTCATGACTTCATTAGTATTTTGCCTAAATGACAAATGATAGTTACTTGCAGTTATAATGAATTGTTTCTGATATTTTGGTAGGTAAGATGCAGCTGTTCAGGAAGATCTCAAAGGATACTATGGCACTACTGGAGGCAGTGACAGAACCATCTCTTTGTCAAGATTTCAAAGCTATCCTGGACTAACTGATTGATGTTTATTTTATAATTTTTCCAGGTTTGAAAATAAGTGCTATGCCTTTAGGTGACTTTCCTCTCTACTTTGTTTTGATAGAGTGGACCAAAATCAACTTTGTTCAGAAGTTTTCTCTTTGTTTCTCAGATACCATACAAGGACTTAAAAAGAGTAGACAATTTTTTTAATATCTTTTTGTTTGTATTTTTTTGTTGTTGGGGTTTTTTTTGTAAATTCATAGGCTATTTGAAGTAATTTACTTGGTTTCATTCAGTGATCCCCATCCTCTTGATGAAGGAATCATTAAACTATGTTCTGTACAAAGTTACCTACTTTCATGTTTCAGTGGGTTGTTTTGAAGGACTCTGTGTTGCAGACTATTTTATAATAAAGTACCTGGTTAATTGCAATAACACGTGCTTTTTTCCAGTACCTTTATTTTATAGTAATCTTTAATATTCTGCCCATCTGGGTTATGCCTTGAAATTTAGTTACCTTCACAGGGCAAGTGCGTTTCATGGCATTACCTAGCAAGATGCACAGGCTGGAAATTTTATGCTTTGGAGATCACAGCTAGTATACAACAAAATTTCACTGTCCAGAATGGATTTTTTTAGAGCATGTTTTATATATTTTGAATACTTGGTGGTATTTTTAGTACAGTGTTATATGGAATGATGATGCTGGTGCATTTATACCTACAAAACAGAAGTTCTTGATTAGAAAATATACCACATATGTTGCTCTTCTGTTTGCATTTACTGTTTTATATTTATGTTTATCTTTGCCTCTATACAAAAAAACTTTTTACAAAGGCATATATATATATGTCCTTTATATCTAGGTAGATATAGATAGATATAGAGATATATATAGGACATGGGAGATGGGTTTAAACTGAGAGTATGTTTACAGTAGATTTAAGGAAGAAATTCTTTACTGTGAGGGAGACGAGCCACTGAAACAGTTTGCCCAAAGAAGTCATGGAAGCCCCATCCCTGGCAGACCACCACCACACAGCACCTAGAAGCTGATTTGCCGTATTGCAATCTGTCCATTAATATCATAACTCACTTCAAAACATACAATCAGTCATATGGGTTTGGTTTTTTTCTTTCTAAAAAGTGGCACTGTTAAAATAAAAATGTAATAAACTTTCAAAAAGCCACAGAAGAATTGTTCCTACTAGAGATGAAGAACAAACCAGTTGCGTCTCAGCCAGCAGCTCAAACATTTAAACCCTCCTGTGCCCCACGATGGTCTGCAGTGATACTGGTGTGAGGGAGCACTATCACGGGCAACATCGCATAAGAGAGGCCTTGGCCAGGCAGGAAGCTTTATTTGATTGGATCGCGGGGCAGGAGGAGACAGGAAGACCCTCCAACATGAAGAAGAGAGGGAATGTAAACTTCACTTGATGGCTTGGATTAGACCATATTTTCTCTGTATCACAATCCGTTGTGATACTGTGAGAGTGCAAACAGCTGATGTGGTCCCAGTTGAAGGTGCAATTTTATAAAAATGAATAAAATGTAATGCATTCAATTCCCTGACCTGATATTTGTCTTTATCTGTAATTACTGGCTGAGTTGTCAGTTTTGAACAGTAACCGCTGTTTCTGAAGGCTGTTTGTAAACAGATACAAATACAATGCAGAAATCACAAGACTATTTCATTTAAAATATGCTCCACTCAAGAAGGCAAGTGGATGTAAAACTGAAACTAGTATGTGTTTTAGCAAATGGAGAATTTGTATATTTGAAGAAAAGCTACAGTCTCTACTGGAAATTTGAACTTGCTGTGGTGGCTTATGATAATTGGGAAAACAGTACCATGGGCATACATGTAAGGAATAGATTAACCATAGCAAGGGGATGCATTTGTTGCTCTAAAATTAGATGTTTATACTGTTGGGAAGGTAGAAATATTCTATAAAGCTGCTGCTGCACAGAACTGCTCTAAAATAGTGCCATATGTTGTGGTGGTAAAATGTATTCTACTTAATTGGTAGCAAGGCAGTGCGTTAAACAGCAACTGCTAACTGGAAGTGTTTGGGTGGATTGAATAACTTGAATCTGGAAATATTAAATGAATTACCTTAGGAGCGTTCTGAATCTGTAATGTGGATTTTCAGCAATCATTGGACAGCTGGGAAAAATGCAAAAGATTTGAGGGTTGGGGTGAAGGTTAAGATTGTCTCAGTATTTAAGAGAAGGTAAGTAGAGAGAACTAAGCCACTCGATGTAAGTCACTGCGCAACCTACGTTGCAGTTGTTGCAAACCGCTCTGCAAGGGAGCTTGCTGGAGGGTTTATGTGGGGAGGAAGAGGGATAGGACTGAACATTGTTTCCTAATGTGTGTGCAGGGCTGGAAGGGAGGCATTTGACACAAGTCTCTCTGGAAGATATTATAGTATCTGGATGCATTCGTCAAACACATCCTTCTCCCCACTGCTTCCTTTTAGGAGGGAATTGCGGACTGCGAATCTCAATTTGAGGTAGGTGTCAAGTTTTCCAAGTTAGGAAACTGCCTGTGTTCCAGAAGGAATATGCTTTTCTCTCTGCATCTTTTCTCTATTTATTGTATTGTGATAATTTGGATGTGTCCTTATTTATAGTGCTGTTGCAATGCTCCTTTTGATACTTTTTCCTTTAAGAGACAGTTGAGCTCCTTTTCTTAGGGATGTGGATTCTGCTTAAGGCTGAACATGACAATGCCTGTGTCCTTTATTAACTCACCCCCAAAGAATCCAGGCTGTCCTTACAGCCTAGACAATTGTAGGAAAGTCAGAACAGTATGAGTTCACTGTGGAGTATTATAGCAAAAAAGATTTGTTGGAATATGGAGATAAAATATTCAAAGAGGAATGAGCAGAAGTAGGGAAAGCACTTAGTATGTAAGACTTCAGCACGTTTAGTTACATGTTTGCATGCATATCCTTCCCCAAGTAACACTCAGTCATGCAATTCAAGTGAAAATAGTACTTATAAGATGCTGTGTTTCACATGAATAGGAAGGGGAAGGTTGCAGCACTGATTTTGCTGGCATAAGGCTGCAGTTTTGGCTTAGGAATTTGGGTAGAGGTCACATCAGAAGGGCAGTGACAACAGAAACACAATGTTCATGTGAGAGTTGCTCAACACGTTTTCTACATGCCTCCTGCAGCTAAACAGTAACTTCAGAGAGTGTGTTTCCCTGCTATCGTTTGTAGTTGCTGGAGCTGAAAATTGTCTTCCCCCTGAGTCCTGTCCTAGGCTGAACTGCATGTCCAGTGACCCACAAAGTCTCCCTTCTGCTGAATGGGAAGGGGCAGCTCAAAAGTCAACAAGTCTGTGAGTGCTACGCTGGAGATGCAAGATGGGTTTGTAGACTTGAAAGTCTTGTGTATGTAGTTTAATTATTTTCTCATCTTGTGTCTGTATTAATTGGATGTGTTTTTGTGTAACAACAGAACTCTGACCAGATACTTAAACCTGCTGCATATACTTGCTTATGTGATTTTAATGAACATCTAGCTATCTGTAGTCAGAGACATGAATATAAACTAATATGCTTTAGTTAGTAAAAAAATCTTATGTATTCACAGCTTTTATATAAATACATGCACAAAATTTAAATGGGGTGTTTTTTTTGTTATTTTTTTGGAAGCATTTTTTACTCACAACATTTCAAATTTTATTTGCAGCAGGCTGACTAGTGATTTAAATCTTTAGTGTCATTGCCAAAAGCTTTACAGTGCATAGCTGCAGAACATCAAGAACTCTGCTTAGACCTTTGTGACTTGTGAGGTTTCTGTTGACAGAAGCTGTGTTTCCATGCTGGGGTACCTGTCCCTCTATTGACTTGAAGGGCTGGGGCTGTTGGCAGGCTACCATGAGCAATTGCTGGACATCCTCATGCAGACCACTGGCCAAGTCCATGGCTCTCAGAAATAAAAACGTGCGTAGCCCAGGCACTTAACCACTTTGCAGGTGATATGACTCGTTCCACATAGGGGGAAGAGCCGAGAGGCTCTGGCGTGGCAACTGCTATGCACACAGACTGTTTACCCTGTGCATTTCTTTTCAGGAGGCAGTCACGGTGTGCTTTTCGTCATTTGGTGTAGACAGGTTGGATACCACTGTTGTGGCATTGTTCCCATCACTACTTCAGGAGAATCTTACTGTCCAGGCTAGTTTACAGAATCGTAGAATCATTAAGGTTGGAAAAGACCTCCAAAATCATCAAGTCCAACCTCAAGTTGCAGGACAGGAGGTTGCTGCTGCAGCAGCTGTGTGAGGGGGATACTAAATCTAAAAAAAAGGAAAAGACTAAAAAAAAAATTAAACTGCAAGAAAGAAATCATCCCCTCTCCCTCCCAAGCTTGCAGTTCCCCTTTGTGCCTCTTTCAAGGAGTCAGGTAACTGCCTTTGCTCTGCAGAGTTTCAGTTGGTCTCATTCATCTTCACTGTGCTGCCAAATTCCTGACACCCATTATATGAAGCCCTACTAGTGCATAACCTATCACAAGGCTAAATACTGAAATTGCCGCCATTTTCCTTAATCTTCCTTTCCTTTTCTTGACTCCTCAATCTAAAGGCTTTGTTGTACCTTATCCTCACATACTTTCCCTATATTTTTTTCAGAGGCTGCTGATTTCTCAAATATCTTGACAAAAGGAATTCTCATCTCCCATCACTGTGGAGTGGCCAGAATCTGCAAGGCAAGTACAGAAAAACCTGGTTTTAAGTAAAGATTAGCTTCACTGTCATACCATGCAAGGTTGCAGCTCACTGAGAGGCTGCCATGTATTTGCGCTTTTATTATACTATTCGGTTACTGTGTTCAGTTTGAGAAGTGAAGGGGGAAAAAAAATGAGTCATTTGTTTTTGCAGTATTTTCCACTGCAGTAAATTCTGGAATCTGCTAAGAGAAGACATTTGTACAGAATTAATTGTTCAGATTTACTTAACGAACATTCTTTTAACTGCTGATGCTTTATTTTTGCTCTTTGCAATGCTGCAGAATATGAAATAATCACAAAATAACTGCTATTTAAACACATCTAGGGATTTACAAAAACTAGAGCGTAGTGGACGAAAGCAGTCCTTACTCCTTAAGAGCTTCCATTCTGCATCTCTTGGAGTGGGGTGTATCTGTCAGTGGATGAAACTGTAAGTGCTTGTATTCCAATTTTTATATTGCTGATCCTTACAAACTGGTTTTTTAGAAGTGAAGAAAGACAGAAGGCACCAACAATAACTCACAGGCTTTCTAAGTTTAAAGTCTGGCTGGAAAGATACATGAAGCTGGTAGTGCATAAAAAGGGTTAAAGCGATGGGGCTGGTACTTGGTCAGTGTGTAGGATTTAGGACAGGATGCAGGAGGGACAATTTTATTAATATAACTGCAGTGAAACTGGTTGAAATTGAAGGAAACAGCAGTACTGTTCATACAGTAATAGTGATTGGCTGTAAGTATATGAACTGCATGTACCAGGTTGGTTGGATAATACTGTATGACATCTCCTCATGCCTAACAAAGGCTTATATTTGCTTACAGAGAGGTACAATGAGTATTTACTCTTTTGGATTAGAAAAGTTGCTATTGGCCCCCTGACACGAAAATACTTCTGGTGATACAAGGCTTGTGTCCTTGCTTCTACACTTTTGTTTGGTGAGATGGTAGAGTGCTACCAGAGGTACACACACGCAGGGAAGGGCAGCTAACAGCACACAGATTGCCTGTACCCAAGGTGGATAAACTTTCTCCTCTTTCATGGGGAAGCCTTCCTATGGAGACAAAAAAAGCAAACAAAAGAAATAATTGGTAGGTACACTTACGTTTGCGTTTTCTTACACTGTTTCAGTAAGGATAGCAACATTTCACTCTTGGTCAACAATAGCACTCAGAGGCCGTGCCCTCTGTAAACCCTTCTTTTGGGTCTAAAGATGGCAGTAAATGTTTTACAGTTTCAAAGATTTGTAGCTGTAATTGTGACACATTACTAGGGATACAAAGATGGCCCAAAGAGTTATCAAACCTTCACCCTCTCTTGATTAAAGTCTGTTTATATGTGTGAGGATTCAAAGCTTACCTGGTGTCAGCAATGACTGAACATGTTCTCTGTCAAACAGGGAAGATTTCTGTCAGAGATTTTGAGGGAATGATGGTAAAACAATTTCTGCAAGTCTGTGGCTGAGAGTTTTATTTGGGGTGATATATATTTAATGCCATTTGGAGGAGATACTGCTGCTGTGTAATCCTCATACAGTTTAGGACCAGAATCGATCTCCAAACCCCTACACAGGTTGTATTTGAGAGGGATCCAAGAAACTGAGGTGACATGAGACAGTGACACCCAGATCAATTGTTCTGAGCATTGACATGACTTTGTTGCTGAATTAACCAACACTGTTCTCAGACCACTGCTCCCTCCCTGTCTGCCTGTCAAAAGTACATATTCATATGTTCATCAGGATCCCAGTGATGCTGATAGTTCTCACTGAGGAATGTTTTCATCTCTGACATCCGTCTTGCAGTTCTGCTCATGCATTTGTTCTGCCTCTGAGCCCTGTATAGGTATGGAATGTCTGTGAGACATTTCACTTCAACACTTCTCAGCGTTACAAATACAGAGCACAAAGTACGTGGACACCTCAAGAAGAGACACATTTTAGTATGTGTAACCTCTTTGCATGCTGGAGCCTTCTCATTCTCAGCACTACATCACTTCAGGCTGCATTCCATAGGCAAGCCGTAGTTAGCAATGATTTTAAAGGATCTGCTAAGGGAGAAAATAAGGTAAATCTTGCTTTTATTAGAGGTTCTGAAAATATTTGGGAACATACGTATTTAGGGTTCCAGGCTGCATAGCTTGGCGGCTTCAGCATCTGAAGAGTAACAAAGGCCATGAAGACAGTTAGCAGGAGCAGAGGGCTAATAAACCTCCAGGTGATTTGCCAGTAGATGTTGAGTTTTCGACCAGTCATCCATTTCACATCTTTACTGAACCTTGTAAAAGAGGGCATGTTTATGATGATGTCAGATCTAGAGTATAATAGTTTCACTTCTTTATAATTTTCTGTAAGTTTTAAACACACAGTACAGCACCCTAAGTCTTTTCTATTCCTTACCATTCTTTAATAACTTAGTATTGACTTCAGTAAATAATAATATCAATGAAGTAGGTCTTTATTGATCCCTACCAGAGGTGAATGACCAGTTTGCACTGTCAGTTTACATTACCAGAGCACGTAGTCTAAGGTTTCTAAGCACAAATAAATGATAATATTTCAGCAGTTCTATAGACTATTCAAATATTTAAAATAAAAAGGCAAAATTATCAAGGGAAAAAACAGAATTTTAGGAAGAAGTCTGAATTAACCAGCACCAAATCAAATCAGGTCATCAGGGACAAAATTACTGCAACCTGGGTTGTATTTATGTCTTATGAAAAAAAATTCTATCTGTTTCCAACGTACCTTTTAATTTTGTAGACATACACAACTCCAATAACTTCAAAGAAAGCAAGGACTAGAAGAGGCACTGAGCCTGCATATCTGTCAAAAATGTCAATCCAGTAACTCCCTGAACTCAGCGTAAAACACAGAGCAATGAGGAAGCTAATTAGACATATTATACCTGAAGGAAAAAAGATATCTATGTTACTGGAGTATTGAATTTGGTAAGTATATTTTTGTTCTAAATTGTTTTTGCTCTTGTTCTTGTCATTTTTATTCTCTCTCCCTCTATGGAGCTACGACAAGCTGTTTTTACCTTAGGGGAGCTAATATCACTTCCCAAACTCAGTTTTCCCTTGTGTGTTGGCTAAGAGGCCAGCTGTTGCAGGCGGAATGCACTCATCTGACTCAGACCACCCTCCTGTTGTTAATCCTTTAGGAAGCCTGGGCTGTGCTATGCTGTTGTCCAATGTTAATTTTTGGCTGATGCCACGAGTTTCAAGTGCCCTCACATCCTTACAGCCCCTTATGTTCCAGTGTGTACAGTTTGGGTTTCAGCACCCTCTTCTGCACAGTCAGTTCCACTTTAGCAGGATTTAGGTTTGAGGTAATTGTTCAAAAAGTGGGAAGGAGGGAAAATGATGCTGCGTGCAGACAGGGGCTGCACATCAATTTGTATGTCCTCCTAATGTGTTACTGATTTCTTCTGACTCTGAGATGGACTTTGGTTCAATTCTGTAAAAAGTTGGCTCTAGACTTCTAGACCTTTTTTTTTTTTATTATTTTACTAAAGGAAGTTCACAATTGGAAAATCCATTTCGAACTAATATGGTTACCTCATCAGGTTGTGAATAAATTTGGTTTTCTGCATTAAAAGTTGTAAAATGAAGGATATAATTTAGATGCCACAGGAAGAATCTAAAAAAGACACGACAGCAATATTTCCCATGAGAATTTAAAAGGGAACACTGTGGAAGTATTAATCCATTACTTCAAACGGCTCCAGACATTTTTCTTGAGCAGTTTTTCTGGACCAGTTTCACAGCAGAATCTCTCAGACTCTCATCGAGCCTGGTTCTTAAGGAGCAGGTTGGGTTCAGTATCCGCCTCTGGTTAAAAAGATCCCAGTTTTGGTGCAAGAACAGGATTACACACACAGTACTTCCTCATTTTCCAAGTGATAATTTGCTACTCTGGCTTGTTTATGGTAAATGTGAAACAATCTGCAGCATCATAAACCTGAATGAAATAGGAGTGAATGACCTCTCCTACAGTTGTGACAATGTTAACGTGCAGGTGGTTACGGCAGACTAGCTGATGTCACTGGATGCCTTAAAGTGATTTGTATTGGTGCCAAAGGCTTAAGGGAAGACAAGGCTCTTCCTGACATCCACAACAGTTCAGCATGAACTTGGCTCCAGGAATAGCAATTTAGCAAGCTTTCTCACACTGAAACAGCTACCTTGCGAACTTAAGAAAAAAAAGGGCAAAGGCAATATAATACTGTCACCTGACAGCTTCTGCCATAACTGCTATCTCATCTCTGTGCTTGTCTTCTGCAAACACAGTCCAATGCCATTACTTACACTGTGAGATTAAGCTAAATCAATATTACAAATTATTAATTCCACTGTGATATTTACTAAGCAGTTGGTATTTTGTGAATCTATAAAGAAGCCACCTTCTTCGAACAAAGCAAATGCCTTACCAGATAATAACTCTTTAGGTGTTGATTTAGATACAATTTGAAGCTCTAGAAGAGGAGTGAAGACACCCTCGATGTTTCCAAACATTGAAGAAAGACCCAAGCTGAACAACATTATGAAAAACAGGATGGCCCAGGCCTGGGAGCCTGGCATGAGAATGATAGCTTGGGTGAAAACGATGAAAGCCAAGCCAGTTCCTGATACACTCTGCAGAAGTCACAAACAGATAAAAATACACATTATAATGTCATTTCTCATTCCGAAGTTATTATGGCAGACTTCTGTCCTTCTCTGTAGTCAAGGATGCTAGTCAGCCTGCAGGGCTCTGTGGCAGCCAGCAGCTAAGAAGGTGAGGGGTGTTTGTGGGGAGTCTAAATTTTCTATCAGAGTTGTCTAGACAGTCATGGAGCAGAACTTCAGCTTGCACAAAGAGATGGGTCCACAGTAAAGCAGATCTTAGAGCTGTAATTGAAATAGCAATTGCTTTGCTAATGCCATTTTAAGTGTGTTTTTTAAAAAATCTAAGATGGTGCTGGAAAGAAAGAGATTTAAATAAGGATATGATTGTCACTCTAGCAGCAAGACAAATGGTGAATTGTTGATTACAAAGCACCCCATAATTGCAAAGGCAGAAAAGACTAATAGGGAAAAAGCCAATTTCAAACAAATTTCTTTTAATTTAGTCTCCCAGGGACAGGGATATTTAAATATAAGCATCGAAAAACACTAATGTTGCCATAATTTGGAAGTAAAGTATTTCAAACCGTAAATCAGAAATGGGTGCCATCAGAAGAGGTGAGATGAAACAGACTTGTGCCAGGGCTGGAATGTCATCCTTGGACTTCTCCATCATGTGAATCACACATGAAGTGAGGTAGGACAAGTAGACAGAGAAGAAACATCCATGTGTAGTGATAGAGGATATGTTTTAGGAGAATTAGAAAATAAGGAAGGGGAGAGGATCATAATCTGGTTCTGTGGCAAACAGTGTACGTTGTTATAGGTTTTTTGATGCTTTCCTAAATATAGATTTAGGAAATACAGATTTAGGAAGTTTCCTAAATATAGATTTAGGAAATTCCCATTCAGCATCCTTTTTCTATAATCTTTCATCTAGATGTGTTTCCTCTGTTGTGCTTATTCCTATAAACTAAAGTACAGCTGAATGGAGTGTCCATGGTAGGCTGCAGGTGGGAGCACCCTTGAAGATTAGTTTTGTGATTACTGTGTGTAATTTTACATGCTGTAACAGACAGGTTTAAGTTCAAACTACCCTACAACAGTACTGTTATCTCAAATGTTGAAAAATTGATTTGTTCAATGATGATTATATATCATATATTCATTACAAGTAGAGCAAAATACAAGCACTTATAAGAAAAAGGAAGATACCAATCCTTCTACATTATTTTGTTTAAGGATTACCTGTTGGAAGCAGTTATGGTACCTGATCAAGAAATTCTTGGAGGTCACAGCTCTTCAGTTTGAGTCCAGCAATTTTTTCTGGATGTGATGAATTCAGGAAAGTAATCCAGGATGTATAGTTTTGCCGCATGATGCTCTCTTCCGGAAGATCAAATTCATTAATGATACTGATAATGTTCCTGCGAGAGAAGCCAACATAGCATGAGTTTAAATCTTTGCAGATGATGTGGCTGGAAATGCTATGCTGTGTATCCAGAGGTTACTCAAAAGTTGTGCTTACTTCCTGTGCTGCTATTTACAGTATAAAGGAAAATATTAATTGACAGCTTTTTTATTAAACAGAAAAAAATAGACTATTTAATGTCTTCTCTTTCAGATACAAACTCTGAGTACTTTATGGAGATCCAGTCTCTAAAATTTATCCAGATCATTTCTACCACTTTTGATTAATAAAATTAGTGAAAATTAGTGAATCTGGTGGAATAGAAAAATGTGTTATTTCTTACTACTTTTAATGCTTGCCTGAGACTGAGATGTGAACTTTGATGCACTACTTGAAATGGGTATATTTACATGGTTATAGTTACATATTTCTGTGGTTATAATATGTCTTGCTTCTTATGAATGCTAACCTTGATCATCCTTACCTCAGTGCCATAATACTTTCTGGTTTTATATTAGACTTCTCCATACATGCTTGTCATCCATAGATGCTTTTCCTTTTTATTGAAAATAAATTCTCCAAATGCATGTTTTTCAAGTAACACATTATCTATTTTGGCATTGAAACCACAGTGTAACACTGGGAACACAACTTTCTCACCTGTCCAAGCAGTCCCAGTAAGCTGTTGTTGCTTTAAACCCCAAAACAGAAAAGACTGGGATGGAAGCGTAGAGGGATGTCACGCTGTTCACAATTGCTACTGTCACAGCATCCTTTTCACAGTCATTCCTAGAGATAGCATTCAAACAAGTGAAGAAACTTGAAAAAGGCAGTATTTTATCTGTGATTCTCTCACTTATTTCTGCAAGCGTTTTAACTTTTTAAAGTCCTCCACTCTCCCTTGCCCCACTTTCTGGTAGATCTATTTGGCCTTTTAGAAAGACAGCATCTGATAATATCCTTTAGAAAAAATTAAGATCATTTATAAATATTCTTAAGAAAGATTTTTGAAAATTAAAAAAAAAAAAAAAAAGAAAAAGAGGCACAGAATGCAACAAGAATTTAGCCAGTTAATAAAAGCTGCAGTTCTACTTACTTTTGCGGATTGTAGCTTGAGAATGCAATGAGCCCTCCAAAAGCCAAAGAGAGAGAGAAGAAAATCTGGGTAGCTGCATCAAGCCATACACGGGGATTTTTCAAAGTGTTCAGCTGAAATAATTGGAAGAAATGCGAGTGTTAGGCTTAAATTACAATTTCTTTCTCTCTTCCAGCTCTCATAGCTTACGCCTTATTTCACTTCTGCTATTCTGAGGAAATACAAGGAAAAAGAAGAAACTGAAAAAGTGAAATTTGAATTTTTATGTAAGGGCAACCAGCGTCATACAGGAAGCTAAATTAAAAAGTAATTGTTGGATTACAGAGAATGTCGAGCAGTTTTAAACAGTGGCACTAAGGAATTTTGCCGTTGAAATCTGTCTGAAAGAAAGATAAAACGTAAGTAGTGGGCAAAATGTAAACGTGGTCAGTAAATATTAGTGGTCAATAAATACTAGTTTCCTGCAGAAAGTGGCATGTTATATTCATACCCTAGTAGGTAAATTACTTTCCAATCTGTTATCAAGGAGGGGGAATAGAGTACAGTATTAGTTAAGAATGTTTTAGAAAGCAGATGGTTGAAAAGTAATACTGGGACTGCAGAATATTTCACTTTGTTTCACATCAGTTTGAGTTAAATCTGCATCCCAGTCTTGCAGGACAACTTATGTGTCTACTGTGTCTGTCTCTGTGTCTGTGCAAGTGATCCTGGTACATGACTGGGAACATTTGCAGGAGTGAGAGGTAAGTATGTCAAAAGACCCTTAACAGCATTTTGGGTTTCTCTGCAGCTGGCCTGAGCTTGAAGAGCAAGAATAATGGGTTCACCTCAGTGTGGATGGAAGCAGGTAATGCCATTACTGCCGATGCCCTCCCCACAGGGATGTCAGTGCTTTGATCGCAGCAAAACTGGTGTAACCCTTTGTGCAACATAGCATAACAAGCAGATATGTGTCACCACTGCTGGCTGAAATGCTTCAGCTTAGCCAAACCTCCTAGAGGATTAATTTGAAAGATCACAACCAAACCCTCAAAGGCCAGAGTGCTCACTGGCAGGGCCCTGTGCAGGTACAGATCTAGACTGCTATTGCAGTGCAGAAGCTTGGCACTCACAGTGCTGCATGACCTTCACAGTTGGATTAAGTGCTGCCAAGTCAGCGCTGACAGATGCGACTCCTACAAGTCTGGATTTTTGACTGGGGACTTTGGCAAATGAGTCTGCAGGTAGTTATGACCAGTGCTGGGTGCAATGCATTTATTGACTCTAAAAGATACTAATCAACCCCCAAACTTGAAAAAATAACAGGTGGGCAAACATGTTGATGTCATGGCAATGTCATTATGTGCTCTTGAGAAAATGATTTTAAATATTATTTTATATTTTCAGTAATATGGCATATAGAGTTTATAAGTATCTTCAGAAGAAAAAGTGTGCTGATGCCAGAAACATGCAGATGAAGATGCACAAGCAGAATGTCAATGATTGAACACGGGAGTAATGAGAACAGGAAGTATAATTGCTACCCTATGGATGGAAATATGTTTGGATACACGAACACATGAAACACAGAAATTTTCTTAAAACAGAGTTTAAAATTACTGAGGTCCCTCTGATGTGTAAAAACTAATGCTTTTCTCATAAGGCCAACAAGTAATGCTGTACTTAAAGGCAGCATTTCATTAGGGCAGTGCTTTTCCTCCCCTTAATACCAGAACCATTATGGACAGTCCAGGTACCTTGAAAGAAGCTTTAAGTGGCCATGCACAGTAATATATCATAACTGTAAAATAGAGAAAAAAGTTACAAATTGCCTCTGTGGGTAGTGGATTTGGTGCCTGTGCTGCCTTTTTCTTGGCTATGCTCGCTGCTCGTTAAATAGCTGCAGAGCTCTGGGCACAGGCATCAGTTGCCCAAACAAGTTCTTGGAATTGTTCATTGCCAAACCTCCAAATATTTCAAGTCTCTGAAGCTCTCTCAAATGTGAAAGAGACTGGAGGAGACATTTGTGTTCCTGAGCTGACATAGATGTCCACTGAAGGTGTGCCATGCATACTGTTGCTGATGCTTGATGAGATCTCTTTTCTGCTTCCTCTCATTATTTATTTTTTAAAAAAACCTTTCCAAAAGTCTGTTCCAGCTCCTGTGTTGCTTCATCTTTGACAACTTCTGCTTTCCCTTCAAATGCCTGTGAACATCATTTCAGTCTCTTTTATTTTCTTGGCAGCTTCATTTTCCAGGTAGCCAAGAGTTTAGAAAGAGTGAGTGAATTGTCAGACTTTTCCATGTCTGAAAGTCAATGAAAAGAAGTATTCATTATTTGTTCTAAAACTTAGGGTATGAAAGTAAGACAAATGGCAAAAAGCCTATGTATTTCTGTATAGCCTGCCACATTTAAATCCATATGCATGCAGCTGTTATTTTTGATATTTTTTAATGAGAACTGAAATACAAACTTGGAAAGTGAATAAACTTAAACAGTGGTGGTTTGGGGAAAAAAAATGAATTCATTTGGGTGATTATGATCTTGAAACTGGGTAAGATATAACTTTTAGCACTAGGTGTTACTTCTTTCACAGATTTTCAAAAACAGTGAGATGTCACAGTTACCAGGAAGTGGATGTGGCAGCTATCAGAAACTACAATTTGTGCTGCACTGCAAAGTTGGAAAAAAGTTGGAAAATAATACCTCCAATGAGGCATGAATGTCAAGAAGAATGATTTGATTTATATATTTATTTTAAAAGCAAACTGAAAAAAGCAGTAGGTGAGCTAATTCTTACTTTATTTTCCTAAAACTTTACAAACTTCCTGCAAAAACACAGGAAAAGAAGAAGGAAACAGCACACACTTAAGAAACATGCTTTACAACTTTGTAAGCTGGTGTAGTCTGGGTGGAGCAGATAAATCTCTACCAAAAAAAACCAGAAAAACAAAAAGCAACAACAAAAAAACCCAAAAACCAATAGCCCTTCCTCTGCAACTCACTTTGGGACATTCCTTGTGGGGAAGCATAACAAGAAACATGACTGTGTTTACTGATGGCAGGGGTAGGAATAGTTCCTCATGAAATAGGCTAACAGTAAACAAAATAGTGGTACTGCAGTTATGGGCTAAGGGGAAGAAGAGAGAAGGGCAATGTTGCAGCTATATTCTTACTGTCTGGAAATCCTTGAAGTGCCACAATCCTGCATAGCAGTTCGTGGGTTGGTTTAACAAAGCCATCTCTCTCTCTCCTATACTATAACTTTCTATGCAATGGAACACCCATAGCAGGTATCAACTTACAAGGCTGTTGCACCAGCTTTCCCATGTTTGTAGATAAGAGCACAGTTTCATCACTAGAACCATCTTCAGATGACTTTTCAAGGATGTACCCAGGATCTGCTTCCTCAAACCAGCTAAACATTAACTGCAGGTTGACTGCAGGCGGATTTCCACTCCGACTTCTGGCACCAGTCTACAAATCCATCCGGCTGTTTTTATGATGATCCACTCCTCCTTAGCACTGCAATACGTCCAAGCTTTGGGAATATACACAAATCTATTTTCTGTGTTAAATTCAGTGTGCAGTGATCCTGTGTCCCAGAGATGCCTGAGCTCTTCCAGAGAAACCCAACAGCCAGGCTGAGACCAAATGACAACAGGCTGTGCCCTGTTCCTGGTTGTGGTGTCTAACCTGCTTTCTTCCTTGAGACATTGCACCAAGCTTTTATTGTCCTGTCTGGGCCCTAAAAAAATACAAGTGTATGTCCTGATCTTCTGTAATAACCAAGGTTGTCCTTCTTGAGCTCTGGCAGCATTTAGATGGCTGTCTGTGCCATGGGGCTTGCAGAGGGAGGGATAAAGAGATGTCTCATTTGAGCTTTCTCCTGTTGTCCCTTTCCAGCCTGGCATATATCTCTGGGCTACCTGACTTATGTTTTCCTTAATGTCTGTTTTCTTGTCGTAGAAAAGGAAAGGGAAAAATATGTGGTTGGAAGTGCTGCTGTGGCTGCAGAACCAGTGGATGCTCTGAGACCACCTATTAGTGGGTGCTGCTTTTCCTTCTCTGCACTCACCACTTCATGGAGCTTTTTAGCACAAGGGCAGAGCTGTGAGGAGCTTACAGCGGATAGCAACCACTCAGGGGGACAGTCTGACTTTTCATTTGGGAATGCCACTAAGGACAGTGTAAAAAGTTCCTTCTGAAAGGAGGGATCTGGAAATCCCACCCCTTTGAGAAGATGAGAAGAAATGGGAGAGGCGTTCTTCTCTAGCAGTTGTGTCTTTTAGGAACAGCTACAATGGAGGGGAGGAAACTGCAGTTAAGGAGAAACATGGGTAGGAGAAAATGACTTTCAACCTTAAAAAAAAACCAAAACACTTTGCAGTGTAATTCCTCATTAGTTTTCCTTGTGAATTCTTAAAAGATTAAAGTTGTGTGAATTCTATAACATTGGCACAGAAATCTCATCTTTATCATGTGTTTGTGAAGTTTACTTACATATTCAAGACTGAAGCACCCATAATATACTTAATTTTCCAGTATTTTCTGATATGCATACTACTGAACTGATAAATACTTTGATGCTTTTTTTTCCTGCCAGAATATATTAAAATACTAAATCACTTCATCTCTGAAAAAAGGGCTTAGCTGAGCTCTTCGGTAGAAAGTTAGATCAGGTGTTGCTAGAAAATGAGTATACACTGTGAAATCTGAGGGGAAGAAAAAGGAAAAATGTTTCTGACTATAGCAGCAATACTTACATTAGGGGTGAAGAGATAAGCCAGACCATCTGTGGCTCCTGGTAGAGTGAGTCCTTGAATAAGGAATATAGTCAGGACTAGGTAAGGAAATATTGCTGTTACATAAATTGCCTGAAGTAAGAAAGTCAGAAGACAAACAGTTACTAGCAATAACTTCAATAAAACCTATTTAAGTTATTGCAACATACAATACTAATAATATTTGATAAGACAGCTACAGATGAACACTGCCATCTTTAAAAGAATCAGGGTGTACTTTTGCATGATATATTTCTAAAAAAATTACTCTTAAAACCATGTCAGAGGAGGCTGGTAGGGCAGAAGCATTTGCAATGGAAAAAGAGAGAAGCATCATTTTAAGCCACTTGTACTGCTGTTCTGGCTTTCTTGGACAAGGAGCACAGTGAAATGGTGCTGGTGTGGTAAATAGGGAAGGCATTCCTTGGTGGTAAAAACTCAGTTTCTGAAGAGCAAGATGCAAAGTGTAGGGTAATGCACTTCTCTGTCCTTTTTGTACCTTTCCTGTGGTTTCAATTCCTCGGATGGTGCAGAGATAGACAATTGCCCAGCAAGTTGCTAAGCACAAAATGAGCCACCACTGTAATGTGCCACTCTCAGCGATATCAGGTGTTATGTTCAAAGTCTTCCTATACCAAAAATAATTTACTGCAGTGCTTTCATAACATTCTTTATTGAACCCTGGGAAAAAAAATGTTGCAAATGTTAGAATAAATTGTAGGCTGCCAAATCAAATTCAGAGATGGACTTTCTGCACTGTGGGTGAAGTGCAGCAAGACAAACTCTGACACATCAGTCTGAGACTCAGATTTATCTGAGACCATCACCAGCATTTCTACAGGGGATAACTTTCTAAATAGAAACAGTGGTGCACGCAGTGCAAGGTAAAACCTAAACTAATGGCACTGGAGACTATGAAATTTTTTGTAGTTACCTGTTCTGTTTTCATTTAGAGGACAAACGCTCCAAGGAAGAGGTTCTTGGAAGGAGTTTATGAAATACCACATCACCCAGGTTAAAACAGTATTGTAGTATAAGCTCACCAGAATGGACACCACCCACGAACCAACACCTGCAGAGAGCACAAGATCTCAGCTTAGAAAAGCTTTGGAAAAAGCTATCAGTCAGTCACAGCACTAGCTCTTGGAAGCTCACATTTCCTGTTCTTTCAAGATTTTCTTGTCCATCCTCTCTTGCCCCTCCCCGAGATTTTCCCCTGAAAGATGGGCATTTGTGTTCTCAGTAACCAAACATTAGTGCACAGTCCCCCATCTCATCAACCCTGCTCCAAGAATGCTGACACTCTCTACTTTCATGAAAGATTAGGATTGAAATCTTTGCTCAAGTACATAATACATTGTTTTCTGTAACACAGGACAACTTTAATAGTAGAGACCAAAAGAGACTGAAGTTTTACAGCATGCTGTAGCTGCATGAGACCACTCTTTTGTCTCAAATCATGCACATATGCCCTAAATTGATCACTGTTTTTTGCTCCTGTGATAAGGAGGGAAGAATATCAACACCACATTTTCTGCTTGCTTATATTTTTATAGAGGGAGTGCAGAACATGCCTAGTTAAAGGAGATAGGCTTAGCTGGCAGCACCACCCCGCTGCTTGGTATTTTTTCCTTGTTGTCCTTGGCCCTTAGATAACTCCTCTCACCCATCCCTTCTTCTCCCACACGTGCCCACAGGCATGGCTGTCAGTACCAAGCCCATTTCAAGCATAATCCAGCCCAGTGCCCAGGTATGATCCAGCAGAGCTGGCTGGAGCATCCAGAGGCTTCTCCTTGCCCTGCAGGCACAAGGGTGCTACCTCAAATACCGAATAGAGTCGATGCTTCAGCCCTCATGATGGGTGTTCCCAATCACTTCTACAGCCTAACAATGCATGCAGGACACAAGATGTGTTTTTTTCAGTGTATATTCAATAAATAGAAATGAATTGCCAGTACAGTCCTACACACCAGTCTGATGCACACTGCTATGTGGATTGTACCTGGTGCTCAGCCATGTTAATAATCTCTCTTCAGTCACCCCACTCTGCCCCCCTCTTGTGGAGGGCAACTTTCTGAGGTGCTATAGACTCATTAGGAGGTGCCAGAATCCTCATATCTTTCTGTCCTCTCTTCAGTCTGACTATTCATGGACTGGATCCTGGAAGGGCTTCCAGGGAAGAGCAAGAAGCACTGCAAGCAGGCAGCCCTTGTGTGAGCACCAAGATATGGTAGGAACAGGACAGTGTTGGCTAGTAGAGCTCATGTCCATTATGCTTCCAACAGCAAAGGTTATGAAGTTTGCATTTTAGGCTCCTGTGTGCCTAGAGTAATACCTGCTGAGAGCAATATAGAATTATAGAATCATAGAATTGTTTGGATTGGAATGGGCATTTAAAGGTCATCTATTCCCACTGCCCTGCCATCAACAGGGACATTTTTTACTAGACCAGGTTGTTCAGAGCCCTGTCCAACCTGACCATGAATATTTCCAAGGAAACCACTCCTCTCTGGGCCTCCTGTTCCAGTATCTCACCACTCTCATTGTAAAAAAACTCTTTCTAATCCTCTCGCTCATTAATTTTTGTATCCCAAAAAGCATCAGGCATAGGTGTGTAGGAAGTGAGTGCTGGATGGGAGCTCATCTGCCATTCCTTGAGCTGGGACCCAAAGAGACATACCAACGCCTCCCAGGTAAGGCGAGATAGTGTTCCAGGCACCGATGCTGCCTTTTCTCAGGCACTGTCCTAGGGCCAATTCAAGATGCAACAGTGGGATGCCTTCGAAGAGAAGAGCTATGAAGTATGGGATCAGGAAGGCCCCTGAAAAGACAATTAAGTGCAATTAAGTCACATGATTATCTGCATCTCACTAAATTACCATTTGATAATTAATTTCCTTATGAACCTAAAGGATGAACAAAGGATCATTTCTAGGGACACCTACCAAGTAATGTTTGTTACTGGTTATGTTTTGCTGGTGAAGATGGAGGAGGAAGGACTGGGATGCTTAATGCTGCAGGGCACTTCCCCTCAGGCATTGCTGCAGCCCATTGTAAGTATTTCGCTCACTATTTCATCCCTTTCCCTTCCTTTTAAGCATCTCTTGTCCCCATTTTCATAAAGAACAAGGGTTTGTCTGTCCCCTATACTGTCTGTTTTCCCTTCAGTGCATTGGATTATTCCCCTTCTTAAAGCTCTCAGGCATGTGCTCCTCTGTCTTCTGCTACTAAAGCATGATTTCGTGCTGGATGCCCCCAAGAGACAAGGTTGCTTTATTGCATAAAGTTCTGCTCAGAGCACTGAGCCTCTGGCTAACGAAAAACTGAAAGCAAGGCTGAAGTTTTTCTGTGAGACGTGGGAGAAATGAAACCCAATTTCTTCCCAGTTTGAATCCTTTACATCTTTCCCGTTTTTCTCACAGCACCCCCCTTGGGCCAGAAGCAGCATGTGCTGTTGGTTACCTGGAGGAAGGGACCAGTCTTGCCAGCAGCCTGGCTATTTCCTGCTAAACTGTGTACAGTGCCTGGTTTCCCACACTTTTCCTCAGAAAGGACATGGTTTTGGGTCTCCCTTCTTTCACACAGATACTGATTTTTAGGAGACCAGGAGAAGTTCCATCAGTATGTTTATACCACCTGCCCAAATGTCCAATTAAATTGGAATAGTGTAATAGACTGAAGTTTATTGCCATGGCCAACAACCACTGTGATCACGAAGTCTCTTTTCTCCAGGGAAACAAAGAGAGAAGTCCTGCCCCAGCCACCTCCTAGTTCTCCTACTGAGAGGATGTGTACTGATGCGGACTGATTTTGTGCTCCTCATTGCTTTGTCAATAAACCCGTGCCTTGTTCTACCATTTCTACTTTGCCTCCAAATCTCATATCTGGGTCTGCTCAGCTCTGCTCTTCCAGCTCTGGAAACTTTCTCTTCTCCCTCCAGGTTGGCAGGGAGATCAGCCTCACCATCCCCATCTGAGAGAGCACTACGGAGTAGCTCTGCTCAGTCTTCAGCCTGAGAGGGAAGTTGGGAAATGAAGAAGGATTTGTGGTCTCTACCTGGAGTGGCGCCGGGATTCTGCAATCACTGGTCATTTAGAAAGGCTGGGCAGATAAATCTAATCACTTGGGCTAGTGTTGTATTGCAATAACTTTGCTACCTATTGCTAGAAGCTGCAATAAATACATACAACACCCAGAGAAGGTGTGGTGTTGAATGGTTTAGCCTTCTACCAATAAATACACAGGAAAAAAAATTGCCAAAGGTGGAAATAAATGCCTTGCCTTATGACCTGAACTCTTAAGATGTTTTTAACTACTAAGAAGCAGATTTGAAAAAGGAGTCTCACAATTAATTTGCAGTATGTTAAATTCTCGATTTGGATCCTTGGTACCCCTGCTCAGTAGTCCTTGTCCTTGGAGGAAGCTCTAAAGTGGCTGTTACAAACTTCCCCCTCCAAGAGAGATTTACAGAGGGACTTCAGGACTGCAGTATTTGGTTTATTTTTAAGTGTTTTGCCACCTGATGAAATCTCATCTGGAGCTACGTACCAAAGCTCCCATGTAAATATGAAGGAATTTGGAAGTCCCTTCCACAGGAACTCAGTAACCTCTTGCCATGCTCAGTTCTGCAATCTGCTTCAAACCTGCTGCAGTATCCCTCTCCACAGCACTCCTAAGAATGCCCACCCAGCACTCCTGACAGCCCAATGACTTGGACTGCCCCCTGGGAAGAGCAAAATATTCAGGCAAGTGACCAGAGCACCACAGTATGGAGCATTTTACTTTGTCCAGCTGCCTGGCCATACACCAGCCCTGGGCAGTAGCTGTCTTGCTCCAATCCACACAGTGTTGAGGCCTTGCTAGCAGAGCACTCCATAAGAGACCGACCTATCTCCCATATCATATCTCCTGGGAAATAACTGTGTAATAATTAGTGCAAACCGCCCTCTGTTATCTCTCTCCCCTTTTCTGTTTGCTAGTTGAGCCATTGACAGCAGAGCGTGTTTAGACATTCTGCTGATAAAAGCCTGTTTACTTTGTGCAAGCTTGTGTGTACCTCCAGGCATATTTACGGCATGGCAAAACATAATGTCACACTTGGAAAGAAGATATTGGCTTTCCATGAGAACAATATAAAAAATCTGCTATCTGCAGATATGAAAATGTGGCAGAAGACTTGGTTAAGAAAAAATAATTTATGAAGCCAACTTTCTCAAACCTAATTAAAGTAAATGGTTTGTAGTGTAAAATGAAGTTTTCGGTTATTCATTCCTTTGCATTACCCTATTTTTAGGCAAAAAGAAAATAGTCAGGAGAAGGACAGTTAGTCTGCTGAAGAACTTGAAGCTTACTCTTTTCCACAATAAAATCCCTCACCTATAAAAACAGAAATACATTAACATAAAGGTATCATATATGGAATAGTGAGTAGGAACCCTCCAGCACTGTCTAGTCAAGGGCTTAACAGCTCTGTTTAATAGATGGAAGAGGATGTGCCAGAAGGCAAAATTTAAGTACCTTTTTAAAAAAATGCAATGAGAAATCTAACCACAGAAAAGGCAAGTAGAAAATCCAAGAAGCAGAATGAAGCAGCAAGCTGGTACCTGGCACACAGCAGATATCCCAAACCAGAGCATTCAAACACAGGCACAGCAAAATCCCATCAGCACTCATATGATGCGTAATACAGGTACAACAGAAACTCTGTAGATTTGGCTTCCATGAGGCATGGAAGAAACGATCATAAAATACTAGTAACAAATTATCCTGATCTGGACATTCTAGGTATATTTATATCTAGATATTCTAGGTCTATATGCTCTACAATGAATGGAAAATAAATGACATAAGAAGCAAGCCAGGGATGGGGGGGAACCTCTAAAAAAAAGGTTTATTTCCAGTAACTTTTTCCTCTCAAAAAATAAATAAGGAAAATGATAGTGATGAAGTATTTTTAGGTACTTTTAAAGTCTGGAGCAATGCCCATAAAAATCGGAAGTGTTGCCAGAGCATGATTTAGTTGCATCCCTGAGGCATGACTTAGGAAAATTTTCATCTACATCATTCCTTCTGTCAGAAAGATAGTGAAGGTTCATAAAGCAAGTAGATACATGAAGTACTAAAAGAAGGTCAAGGGGAGGAGGGGGAACCCAGTTCAAAACCTATGAGAGTTAAATGTTGTTTTTGAACGAGATCCTGCACAAGGATACTACAAAGCTGTGGAACAACCCCTGTGCACATGAGAAGGCACAGAAAGCCTTCAAGAACTTTTTCAAATCAGGCTATCAACAACTTCAAATTCTGCACACACTGGTGAGCTGGTTCCATTAAGAATAGAGTCCCAAGTGACAAGGAGCACCAGTGTGTGACACGATTGATGAAGAACCACTGGAGTGGAGGTAGCTCCACAGTCAGAGCAGTAGAAAAGAAAGGACGTGGTGCACTCGAGATACACTGAGGGTTTTTAAACCTGACTCCTTGATTGCAATGCACAGGCAAATCAACTCAGAAAAACAACTGTTCAACCACATTCAGCAAAATGACATTTAAAGGGCATGATCTTTGTTATATTACCTGCATGGGACAAGCTGGATGAGAAGTGCTATGATGCAGCCTGGGGAGTGCTGCTGATGCACCACAGGGCAGAATGACCAGGAGGCTCAGGAAGTAGCACAGTGTAAAGTTGGTTCACATCAACCAGCAAAACAGGGTGAAACAACTGAACTGGGTTTGTAACTTCTTAGAAGGAGGGAACAACAGATCTGACTAGTGGAAATGTAAGGCAGTTGAAGAATCAGCCAGGTGACCTCATGATCTATAGATACCAAGATCAGCAGAAATCCATGAGCCTCAGAAACAGAGAAGAAAACCCAGCAGCTTTGCTTGATGATGGGATACTAAGGAAAACTTCCTAAATATTGGAGAAAAACTTGCAGGAACTGATCTATGTGTTCAATTTTGCATCTTAGCAGTGCTTGTGGATCAGCTTGCAGAAGAAAGGCAAGTGACTTGAATGATGATCTAAAGACACGATAGCATTTGAGAGGGCAGAACATGAATGATAATTTTCCTTCAGACAGAGATTTAGGAATAGAAAAAAATAATTTTGATAAAGACTGAAATGACCTGGAAAGGATCAAAATAGTAACTTCAAAGGAAGTGCATCTGTAGAGTCTGAAAAATTCAGAAAGCACATCTCAGTGTGATACAGTGTAGCAAGAGTTCAGAGATCCACTTTACTGTTTGTGTTGGCACATAGGAGGAAGGGTGTTGGGTGAACTTTTCCAAAAAAATGAGGACTTCATGGCAAGATACCTGTGATAATTTATGTTTTACCTCCAAGAAATTGCAATAGGTGGTAATTACTTGTTCAGATACAGAGAAAAAGCTATTAGCTATTGAAAGGGGATTATCAGACCCGTCCCACTTTCCTTACGAGAATTCAGCTAAGCAGTGTGGTAGTCAACACAGCAAGGAATCACATCAAGGCATCTAGTAGGAAAAAAGAAGCAACTTCATCACACTCACCCCTCTCTCTAGAAAATAGTACTCCATGACCTTTTTTATGTCTTCTGCACATGCCTCAATGAGAATGAAAAGTATGAGCTACTATAAATATTGTATTTGTGCAGCATATTTATGATGGCACTGATTTTGACTTGCAGGTCACATTGTGCATCTTACAAAGTCTGAGACTTGGAAGTGTTGAACTTTCCATGTAAATAACAATATCTCCTTCAGCAACACTGAAGGAGCTAAAGCTGAGTCCAGAAATCCAAGGGAGCATTAGCCGTTTCAAACAAAGATGTGTAACACCCATAGACCAACTTATAAAATAATCTTGGTGAACTTCCTTTGAAATACTCATGACTGAAGGATGCAAGCAAGCAGCACTCACATGCAAATATCCACCAACCTGAGCTGTGAAGGGCAAACAAATATAACAGATTGTGAAAGGATCAACTCCGAATGTCACAGCTTTTCACCAAGGACTTGAGCAGAACATGGCAACAATCCAGGAAATGAAGTTGTTGCTTTCTGTCAGAGAGTAAACTGTTCTGCACTTCCCAACATACTATGTTTGGGTTTGTGTGTCTTTACAGTATCTTTCTGGTATAGATGTTGTTCCTCTTGGGTTTTGTTTTCTTTCTGAGGACACAGTGAGCCAGGCATTTCGCAGCAAGTTATAGTTCAAGTTTGAGGAAAAGGTCAGATAAGGTTATGAAAGTCTGTAAATGGTTGCCCCAGAAGTAAACAGTTCTCCCTTTTTACCATGACTGTAGTGTTTATGCATATTTCTTTTCCTAGAAAGAAACTGTATTCTATATTAAAGATATTTTTCAGTCATCTTGTAGGCTCAGGCACTGTGCACGTTTTAATGCCCATGAGCTAGGCAAGCATATAATAGCAAAAATTAAAAGTAAACTACTGCAGTCAGTCCAGCTAGAACAGGGTTGATTTTTCTAAAGTATACTCGGATGACTCTATGTGTACAGGTATAGCTATATGACTTGTTAGTGTTTCAATATATACTGAGTCAATATACATTTGTCAGTGTCTCAACAATATACTGGGCTATTTACAGACTTCTTTTCAATCCCAGTTGCCTGGGAACATTTGTGTTTGACTCCACTGACTGTGGCAAACAACCTTCATACCCATTAGTCATGAAAAGTAAATAGCTAACTTAACTCAGGCAATAAATCCAAATAATCAGTAACGGCAGCAGGTGATAAATGTCAGCAAAACTGATATTATATTAGATACGAGTTACTGAGTAACACTAATGTGCAATGAATCAGGTCCAGAGGTCTGATGGGAACAGCTGATATGGGACAAATGCACATGCACTTGTTTTCATCTCTTGTTTTTTGAAATATATAGAAATGAGGAAAAGTACATTGCCTAGCGCTGAAATACTTGGACATCACCTGAACCAGCAGTGAAACTGTACCATAGAAGCCATTCAGCCTTCGAGCATGTCTGTGCCATATCCCTACCAGGTTTCACTGCACATATGACTGTGGCTGCAGGCACAATCCACTGCACCTCTCAGGGCTCCCAGTCAACCACGATGCTGCTGTTCTCTCCCACGTTCACATCTTCAGATGCACACAAACAGGATTTATGCTCCAGTACTCCTGAAAATCTATTGGGCTTTTTTTGAGTTGTTTGCTTTCAAAAATGCAACCCCTAATCACATCACTGCCTTAAACTAACAGAAGAAAAATGCAACTACCTTATACACTGGTGTAAACCCAACAAGTCTGTCTTCTCAGTGGTCTTCATAACTCCCTCAACTTTTCCAGTGTCATCTCTCTAGGATAAATTATTCACAAACCCCACTGCACTTTGCTACAGAGTTAATCCTGCTGTTCAGCTCTTCAAGCCCTTTATTGAGGCTGAGTGACCAAACACTGGCTGTACATCCACACATTGACCTTAAATCACCACTGTCTTGTGCCATTGTTTGTGATGATGCAAAGTAGCTGTTTGCTGTTACTGACTCTGATAGCTATTTTAAACTGGTTTTTCACTGTCAACATTACTATTCACAGAGCAAAAGAGCAACTCAGACTTGTTTTTGCAGCATTTTTCCTATTTTTATTATCTTTAAACCTGCTCTAACCCCTGCATTTTTTTCCCCAGCAGTTCCTGTGGGAAATATCTGGAAGCAAATAGACTTTCTGAGCACTGTTCAGTTCATTAGACAAGTCACCACGGGTCTCCTTGCAGTCAGTCTCACACTTCTCCTAGGGTGGTGAGATCTATAGGGCAGGGATGCGGGAGACCCCAGAAGGGAGGATGGAGATCAAACCTCAGTAACAGGTAAACATTGCTGTACTCTGAAGTGAGGCTAGGATCTGGAGATACTGGAAAACTCTTGGCCAAAGCTGCTCCCCCCCCTCCAGCATAGAGAAACAACGATTGGTGCTTTGTGGGAAGGTTTGAGAGCCATTTTATGGTCAGTAGCAATATTTCATCTTATCCAGATTTGCACAAAACTCTGAAGCACAAATTTCATGCAGCCTGGTGCAGTCGGTGGTCCCAGAAGCAGCTCTGTGTAATCAGATGTGAGGAGGAGCTTCATCTTGCTATGTCCCTGCCTGTGAGTTTCAAACCTTCCACTGAACGCTTTGTGTTAATCATTCATTACATTACAAAAATATCATATTATGTTAGCCTTATGTTATTTGTTAGTGTTGTATGTATCTTCCCTAACTTTCCAAGATCAAAAGACAGCCTGAGATGCTGTAGAGTATTTGTCCTACAGCTCCTGCTCCAGAACACTTTCTTTGCAGGTCTCATGCCGTATCTGCTATGGGGATGTCTCTCTGAAGGTCTTTATCGTGTCTCATTAAAGCAAGTATCATTAACTGAAGGGATCAGTTTTTTCCCAGTCGTTCCCAGGGACAAATGCAGAGAAACAATGTGAACCTGTGGCTTTCTAGCCACCCAGTTATGGGACTTCTCTGAGGGAATTCCACTGGGTTTCTCATCTTGTAAATAAAATAACAGAAACCATCAAGTCTCCCGGGAGGAATCTAACCTACTGCATCTTGTCTTTTATTATTTGTATTTGTGTAATTGCAACTTTCAGCTGTCACATATTCAACGTTAAAAAGCTCCCTGCCACCAAAATAATTTACATTTGCTTGTTTAAAGACTATGATAGACATTTTCATTTTCAATTTCATTACCATTGTTTCTTGTCCCACAAGTTTTCCAGCCCTTGAATAATTGTTGGGGCTTGTCTGCATTTTGCCTAATTTTTCAAGCTGACTTTGAAGAGTGGACTTCCAGAAAAAGTCAGAGGTTCAGAAGTTGATTTAGTATTGGTAGCAATATCTCTACCTACTTCCTAGTGCTCTGCTTATATGTGCCAAGATTCTTTCTGTTGATACAACCTGCTGTATCTCATTCATTGAGATGCTTACCAGAGTCCCTAAGTGGCTACTTCTTTCTGAAACACCTTCCATTAAAGGCAACATCCATTCTTGGCTCCTTGATGGATTGAAATATATGTAGTTCATCACATTATACAGACACCTTAGTAAAATAAGCTTGGATTTAATAGTATTTTCTGTCATTTGACAGTTTCTCCAGGTCTGAATTTTCTGTTTCTACAATTAATTGAAAAATAACAAATAATATTGGGCTGAAACATTTTGCTGTCTCACTCTGCTTTAGATAGCAGCAGATTTCATGAGCTATTGAGGATAGTGAGTTATCAAGTACTCCTTTCTGATCCATTTATATTTACCAAATTGTCTGATTCTAAAGCAATTCTTTGTGGAACTGGTGCCCAGGGACAGGCTTGGGCACTTGTCCATACCACCTGACAGGATCCTGTTGCTATTCTATCGGCTGAGTATTTTAAACAGCCTCTAAGACACCCAAAAGCACAACTTAGTTTTCTGCAGAGGCAGTTCCAGATGATGAGGTAGCTTCTAAGAGCATCAGAGAAGGAATGACTTGCTGACCTTCCCAAAGGAAAACTCAGTGGCCATTTGGCTGGGGGCCGATTCACTCAGTCCTCCCTAGGACTTCTTGTTTCTCCTTAAGGTAGCCAGTTGCAGGTTCAGTTTCCTGGTCCCATTGGGACTGTAGTAGCAATGTAAAAACTTTAAAATAGCTTTTTCTGAGAGTGAACATCAGTCAGGTCTTCCTAAACAAATGCATCATTTTAAAAAGAAATATACTTCTATAGAAAAAGCTAATCTAACTAGAGCAAAACATTTAAGATAATTAATTTTTTTTTTAAAGTGATGTAACCAATATAAATCATATAACTTCCATACCTCTCAGAAGTTGGTACAATTATATCAGAATTGCAGTGTAATATTTTGGCAAAGTCCCATTTCAATCTTACCGCCTCCGTGAATCTGACACAAGTATGGAAATCGCCACACGTTTCCCAGACCAACAGCAAATCCAATACAGCTTAAAATATACTGGAACTTATTGTCCCACTTGGGTCTGCCATCTTCTTTAGGGATTTCAGGGGTTGCTGATAAATCTTTTGACATTTTAATGAAATATCCTTGGCTCCTTAGCCCCTTTCCCTATAAAAGGGAAGATGCTTCAAAACCTGTCTCTCCTATGGTTTTATGTAGGGTGACAGGAGGATCCTGGAAGAGAGGTGGAGCTCTCTTTTTATCTGATACAAAGGAATGTGTCATTGCCAAGACTGCAGTTTAAAGAAAAAACCAAGAATTGTTATTATATAGAGAGTTACCACTCTTGCCTTTTTTGCAACTCCTTCTGTAGTTAGAGAGTTTGGGAATACGTTGTTAATGGGTAACTTGGGATCAAACAGGTTTTTATTTTCTGTTCTCCTTCTGTTCTCCGAATCTGTCAGAGAAGTGTGACACTGAATATAATTAAAAAGAAACCTTTACAGCAGACTAATTAAAATTGTAAAATACTGGTAAAAATCTGTGAACAAAGTGTGACCATTTTCTTTACTAGCTTGTTAATAGAAGTAAATGAATGAAGGCATCTTTTGCAAATGCAAAAAGTCAATCAGAAAAAAGGCAAGAAAAATCAGACCTTGTATGTTCAGACATAAGAATTTGGTCCATTTTTACAATAGCTGCTAGAAGTTAATCACTTCCCATTTGTCAATGAATCCTCAGTGACTATTTTTATTGTCATTAAATAGTTACTGATGAATACAAGAGCTGAATGCCTTCCTTCTGTTGAAACTATGCAAGAGTATTTTTCTGTTTTCTTTCAGTTACATCAGGATTTTCCTAGTTTGCGAGATGAATCAGTTCATTCCACACTCAACAGAGCAACCAGTCAGCTTGCTTTGTTCAGTAAATCAACACTTTGTGCCTGGATTACCCTAAATATTTTCCCCTAAATATTTGCCCCTAAATAAAAACCCTGCTCTGCAGCTAAGCACACAAATATGGTCAGGTTGCAGATCATGCAACCAGAAGCCAGTTTCAGATCTAGGCTACTCGAGTCTTCCCAGGCTGGCACAGCTTATCCGCTTGCAGCTCTGCAAATATCCCGATCCACAGATGGAGCAGCTTAACTTCCCAGTCTCTTGTCAAGATTGTCTCACAGGGCACACGAGTCCGTGCATGCAGTGAGGCTTGGCAGCACTTACACAGCATCAGTGCTGCCATGGCAGCCACCACCATCGCCCTGCCGCTGCTGTGCTTCCAGTCAGGAATGTACCTCATGCTGTGCTTGGGCCCTTCTAGCAAAATACTGAATTCCACACCTGCCAGCTGCAGATAGATGCTTCAAACTCAATTTTATTTGTTCGTGGTGGCTGATCTTTTTATCAGCAGAAAAATCTGACAAAAAATGTTTTTCCCATTAAAGAATAACATCTTTAAATAGTTTAAATAATTACACTCAAGTAATTAAAAAAATGGAAATTGGAATGCAAATTATTTTGATCATTCATATTCTCTTGAACAGGTTGCCCAGAGAAGTTGTGGATGCCTCATTCCTGGAACTGTTCAAGGCCAGGCTGGAGGGGATTTGGAGCAACCTGGTCTAGTGGAAGGTGTACCTGACTGCGGCAGAGTGGTGGAAGTAGATGATCTTTAAGGTCTCTTTCAAACTAAACCATTGATTCTATGATTTCATGAAGCACACATGCAATGCCTCTTACTTTACTCTCTATTTAGAACACATATGCTATTCTAAAGATAGCAAATACATTCCATAGTAAATATACCTGAATTATAGCCACTTCTTGTAAAAGAGTGTTTCAATTAGTGTCAGGGTATAACTTGGATCCATTTTTGTTTTAAAAGGAAGGGGGATTGCTAAAAGGTAATATAAATGTGTTGCCCATGAGGACTGGGACTCCTCACTGAGCTCCTCTGAGTCACATGGAAGTTAGAAGCTTGAAACAGTTGTAAGGGGGTGGGGGGGGTGGGGGGGGAGTGGGGTGTGTACGTCAACCAGAGCCACCCACCTTGATTGTAACAGCAAGAACCTTTGCATCATTTGAGTGCCTTGGCTCTCCCATCAGCCTGGACCTCCCAAGCAAGTGGTGCACTGGTTGCTCAGGGATGCCAGAGAGGGCAGATTTTGCTGTTTCCTGAACTGCTGCTGCCCCATTGCAAGATTACTATCGTCAGCAGAAGCATCACTATCTGCTGGGAACTTGAAAGTAATTTATAAAATCGATAGAATTCTAAACAAATCAAGCTGTCATGCTCATACTTAGAAACATTTTTATTAAATATTTTACACTTCTGTATGAGACAAATAATATTGGTGGCTTTGTGCAACACAGTGGCATGTAAAATAAAAACAATTTAATGTGCAAGAGAAGACAGTATTAAGTTACCTCTCATATTAGCCACCCAACCAGAACGACTGCGTATGGAAGAGTCACTTCTGGCATTTCAAGCACAGTGCTTCCCCAGGCATAGGGAATGAAAGCCAGTTTCAAACAATCTGGCTCCAAAACCAGAAGGAGGACAAATGATTTGGTCTGGTGACCCAATCACTTGCAAATGTCACCATTTGCTTCCAGGACATCAACTCTTAACAGTGCATTGCATTGCTAAGTAAATGTTCACCTGGAAACAACACAGTTACCCTTATGTGAAAACTCCTGATTTTTAAAATTTTTGTTTTTTACTTTCCTCACTGTCAAAGCTTCCTTCCACATTTTAATAAGTGGCTTTATGATGAATACTTCAAGTTTCCATTAATGGAAGTCTCAGATGTAGCAATAAGGCCCGCACGGTCATTTTTTTTCTCACAGCAATTTCTGATGGCTTTGTAGATGGCAAAAGTAGGGATGGCCAAACTAGGCACTCCAGCAAGGACTACAATAACAGCATACACCCAAGGGGGATATTCAACGTTCTTCATTTTGGGGAACTCCTCCTGAAAGAACAAACAATTGAGTTGTGGAGAGTTGTGAGGAGCAAATACCTAGGATACATTCAATAATTCACATTCAATATTTCAGTGTATCAAAAATGTAATTGGAACAGTAGCTGGCCACAATGGCACAACAATTTGCCAATTCCAGAGCAGCTTTCAGGCCAAGGGTTTCCACTCTCAGCTGTTTTGAAATTATTTTTCCCTAAAATTCATGGAAAGAAGATGGCACGAAGGAAGCAAGTTTGATGGCCAAATAGTCTCTGGGTGGGAAGTCTGAAATCAAAGGGTGAGGGAGAGCTGAAACATTAAGAAGGAAGTGAGGTTGTCAAGGAGGAGAGAATAAAACAGTCCCATTTCCCCATATTCCTTCCTCTCTCTTTCTGTCTCTGACCTAAGAAAATTAAAATTAAACTTTACAAATTAAGTGTGTTGCATGACTGTTTCTGCTTTGAAGATGGTCACTGGTATAAGGTCATAGAACAGAAAGCAGAGCTAGACAGGCAGAAAAGAGATGGGATGACAGAGAAAATTATGGGACCCACAGTTTTTCTAATACTCCCTTCTCTGTACCACATGCAGCTTTTTGTTTTGCAAGGGGAGGAAAGGAAAAGTAGGTAACTTATTGCTGCAATCATAATTTAAATAAAATTTGGAAGAGGAAATATGGATATTAATATTAATATTCATTTCTTCTGTCAGTGATGAGTAACCAGCACTACTGCTGTTCTATGATTTTAAATGCAAGCAGAAACAAGTGTAATATCAAAATGGCTTCAAAGATTTGGTCCTTTGTCAAAGTGGAAAGGTTGAGTCATTTCCATATCTTCTATAATCCCTACTGGGGCAGTGACATCTGTTTCAGGCTTGCAAAATAAACCCCAGAAAAACTGGACTAGTGTTTTGGTTTTGTCCACTATGGAAAAGCTATTCAGGTATCACTTTATATCAGTTGCAGGCATTACAGCTGAATTTAGGACTTTTTTTTTAAGTGTTGTTTTTTAATATTACTTTGTCTCATAGTATGTTTCTATTAGAAAACTGTTTCAGGTGGGAGATGAATATATCTGACCATGAATTTTGCATTAAAGAAGAATACATAAAATAATTATTAAAAACTATTTTGGTTTATATACTTACATAGGTAGGGTCCCAAACGCTGTAAAACAGTTCTTTGCTGACATTCACCACAAGATAAAAGAAGAAAATAACTAACATAATGAGAGGACTAATTAGTCTCCAGGTAACCTGCCAGAAAATATTGGGCTTGTGTCCAATCATGAACTCAATATCCTTGTTAAACCTAGAAACAAAAACAGGAAGTTCAGGACTGTAAAAAACTGTTGAGGATCAAAGAGTGCCTGCTCCTAAACAGAGAAGTCCAAACTACCCCTGGCTGTGTTTCCCGGGACTTTGCTAATGTCAGTGTGAAACTGGAATTGTCAACAATATCAGAAGTTAAATCTGAGTAGTTCAATGTAAGGCACATATCATTACAAGTCAGGAAAATTATCTTTGGAAATGTACTATCTTCTAGAGGTCTGTGAGGCATATGCAAAATATTTTCAATATTTTGAATAGGAAAGAGTCAATGTAGATAGACTTTCCCTAAAACATATTGTTGTATTGCTTCACAATTTCTTGGTAAGCATCTCAGTGCTGTATAAACTAAAAGGAATAACACTATATTAAAAAGAAACAAAAGCAAATTCTATTAATTTTACTAATTATATTCTGTGCATAATATTAGCTTGATTTGGATTTCTACCAGTTTTCTCAGGTTGAGTGCGGAAACAATATTTAACTTTCCACATTATTAAGAACATCTAAAAATGTATTATTTGGACTATTCATAGAATGTGCAGTGGACAATGGGAAAAAAATCTTTCCACAAGAAGAAACAATCCCTGCATTTAGAGCGATACTGTCTGCATCAGTCCTGCACCAACTTATGACTTCTCCCTATGGTGCAACATTTTGTGCACACACTTTTTAAAAAATAGTTAGTTTGGAAGCCTGGGCTTCTATTCTTAGTCCTCTTGTCTGGCTTTCCAGCGTATCTTGTGGGGATAAGCCTGAGGGGGCTATTCAGTTGGTCCTTCAGCTATGAATAACACACTGAATTCAGCAAAGTCTCAAATACTACATAAATTTGTTTTATCTTTTCACCCCTAACTTCTCAGATCTAGGTGTCCTAAAATGACATGGAGCCCCACATCCCAACTTCAGAGCATGTCCAGGTGTAGTTCATGTGAGTGTCATGGGTAACACACATGTTATCCTTCAGTC